AGTACCGGGGATTCAAAGGTTGAAGAAGTCAGATAAGAGCTTGTTCCCATGGAGATTTACATTCAAGTAAGGATGGAGATAGATGATAAACAGCATAAATTAATACATGAGGTAATTTTGAGTAGTTATAAATATTATGAATAAAATAAAAGAGTGATGTGATAAGATATAGAAGTAGAGTAGGGGCTATCTTAAATTGGTGGTCATACAAGTCTCCTCTGAGGAGGTGACATCCGAGTAGAAACAAAAATGACAAAAATGAACCTGCCATGCCAAGATTCAGAGAATTCAGGCAGCAGCCGGAACAAGTAAAGATGTTTCAAAGTAAGGGTAACATTGATGTATGTTCACGAAGAGAAAGAAGGTCATGGAACAAAGATGAAATCACTTAATCGAGACAAGAGAGTTTGGCCAGATTATTATAGAGCACTACAGGCCATGGTAAGGAGTTTAGATTTTATCCTGTGGGAAGTCTTTTTAAAAGGAGAGTTGCATGATTTGATTTAAGTATAAAAAGATCCCTCTGGCAGCTGCATAGGAAATGGACTGTACAAGGCCAAAATTGGAAGCCAAGAAAATTGTTAGAGTCACAGTAGGGCCATCAAGGGGTGACAGTGATGTGGAAGAAGAGGGATATGATATATATATATATATACACATATATATAAGATGAGATATATATATATATATATATATATATAGTAGCACATTTTAAATATATGAACTGTGGGGGCACCTGGTGGTTCAGTTGGTTGAGTATCTGACTGTGACTCAGGTTATGATCTCATGGTTCATGAGTTCAAGCCCCACAACAGGCTCTGTGCTGATAGATCCACTGTCCCCTCTTGCTCTGCCCTGACCTCGCTCATGTTCTCTCTCTCTCTCTCTCTCTCTCAAAAATAAACATTAGAAAAAAAATATATATATATATGAACTGTGCCTGGACATAATGTAGGCATTTCATGTATATTTCTTGAATGAATAAATAAATGAATGAATACATGAATAGCATAATGCTTATATAAACATTAAAACATAGCAATGTACTCTATTCCTGGCATCTTATTTTAGTCATGAAAACAGAAACAAAGGAAAGTATGAGGAGTCTTTTACATTCACAAGAAACCCTAAAATTTTCATTTACATTCACATGCTTCTTTCATTACAAATAAGGTAAACAATTTGCAAATGAATCTAACTTAAGAAAATTTTAGAATGGGACGACGCACCAAACATCTGACATTTCCTACTGTTAATTGTGGAGTTTCTTCATAGAGTCATGGCTAGAATAAGAAATAAATAACAGAAATTCTGCCTTAATAAGAACATTCCCGTTAGTTGGCAGAAAAAGGAAATTATTCACTTGAGGTTTCTAAAAATAGCTTGCTCTGTGCCTTCTGTACGCGGGCTGTTCACACTAGTGTCAGGGTGTGCCCGTGGTGTGCAGCATGGGGTCTCTGCCACCTCCCAAGAACCGATTGTTAATTATTTAGAAAATTGATGAGCAAGTGGTTAAAAATATTGTTATTAAAATTGAAATTATTTAAATTTCTTAAGTAAATGAGGAAGTTTAAAACAATGTAGTAAATTCTCAAAACTCATCACTTCCTAATTCCTTACTGCATTTTTAATAATAGTCTTTGAATGTTTATTTATTTTTGAGAAAGACAGAACACAAATGGAGGGGAGGGGGCAGAGAGAGAGGGAGACACGATCTGAAGCGGGGTACAGGCTCTGAGTGTCAGTACAGAGCCCGACACGGGGATCAAACTCACTGACTCTGAGATCATGACCTGAGCTGAAGTCAGACGCTGAACGGACTGAGAGTCACCCAGGCGCCCCTGTTCTGGCATTACAAAAAATTTTTATCAGTTTATTTTGAGAGAGAGAGAGAGGGGGATAGAGAGAATCTTAAGCAGGCTTTGTGCACAGAGCCCAATGTGGGGCTCAAACCCACAAACTGTGAGATCATGACCTGAGCCAAAACTCAAGTTGGATGCTTAACTGACTGAGCTACCCACGTGCCCCTATGTTACTGCATTTTAATATCATCAACGCTCTTGAGGTTATTCCTCTGCATCTGTGTGGTGGCTACCACCACATATGCATAATGGTGTGCTGCTCAGCATTTCATCATAGCTCCACATTTAGTGATGTCATGTGGGAAGTTTGAAATCAGACATGATGGAAATATTTACACCACAGAAATTAGCAAACTATAAAGCCAGGGCTTCCCCTCACCCTAAGACAGTCTAGGTTTGTTTAACATCTACCTGCACATCACTAGTTATCACTATGCTGAGGCAGTTCACTGCTACGGCATCTCCAGCTACAAACTTCTGTAGTTTCAACCCCAGAAGCTTTTGGGTTTTGCTTCACATCAGCGATGAAAAATGAAGGGTAAGGAAATAAAGAGAGCAGCAGTGGGGTATGGCAGGCTTCTTAACAAGGAAGGTTGGTTTTCAAATCGATTTACTGGGTTCTTTTGCACTTTACTACCCTCAAAATAAAGTGCTCATTTCCCTCTGATTTCCTTTGTGGAACAGCCCTGCTGAGTGTGAAACCACTCAAAGTGTGTGCTAGCAAAGTTCAGAAATTAGAAAATATT